GACATCCGAGTGGTGAGATTAAAGGCATCCAGCACCATGGACAGGCTCTGCAGTTATTTTCAAATAACATCCAGCCTCTTGCTGAGTCTCGACCCACGTGATCTTTGGATTAAAGTGCAGAGATAGCTTTCTGGGTATCTGGGAATGGAAAGATGGAAATGGGCATTTGGTTGGTGTATTTCTGTGGAAGTTTGTAGTGATAGTGACAAACTGTTGACCATGTCATTGCTTATTTTGGTCCCTCGTCGTGGCTCCCCACCATTGCCCCCTATTATTCCTTTGTCCACATCCCCCTTACCGTCCAGTATACCATCCCTATTCTCTAAACCTAGAACCTGTACACTTTAGGACTTGTTATGTGGCATTCAGGGACCCTATGTGTTTTTTTTTTTTTTATGTTGTTGTTTTGTTTTTCGAGACAAGGTTTCTCTTTGTAGCTGGCGAGTTGGCTCAGCCGTTAGGTCCCTGCACACTAAATCAGAGACAGGTGGAGAGGTTAGAAATGAGAGTGCCAAAATAGGAAATAATAATAGGAGCAAGGAAGGCAGGCTCTACAAAATGGGTGGAGCCACAGAGCTGTGAAGGGAGGAGCAAAATGAGAGTACATAGCTGGAGAAGGGGCTGGACTTAGATGGAGAGGAACCATGAAATAAGGTGGGGGATTGGGTCAGATATTAGAGATTGCCTAGGGGTGGAAAAAGGAAGGGAATTTAGAAGGGACACAGTAGGCTTAATAGCATTCTCAGATACTGAGATGCTGAGGCAGGCACAGTGCTTGACCCTGGGTGATTGAAGGCAGCTTGGGAGGACAGCAAACCCTTGTGGTAAGGATGAGGATGGATGAGCAGGTGAGAGGAGAGCTTAGGAACAGGAAGAGAGGATGAAAAGTAGCATCAGTGATGCTGTGGAAATGGGAGCAACTAGAACCTTTTCCATAAGGATTGCCCCCTCATAAAAGCATGGTGATACAGATGAAACAGCAACTGAGTAAATGTGTGCAATTAACATCCTTGTAAGGTTTCTGAAAATGTGTATAGTTGGAATTTCTCAGAAAGGGAGATGAATATTGAAAGGAAATGGTATCGGCTCAGGATACCCGAAGACCAAGTTTTTAGCACAAGGGAGATTAATTTTCCCCAGAGTGACAGAGGTCAGGACATAAGAGACAAATGTAGGAGTTTTTCTGTCATGGAGATGCTCTCAAATAACCACTCAGAGGGTTATATTTAATACAAATGCTCAGCCAGTGGCTAAGGCTTGTTATTAGCTAACTCTTACATTTAAATTAACCTATATTTCTAGTTATGCTCTGCTACATGGCTCGTGGCTGGTTATCTCAATTTCTACATGTCCTGCTTGCTCCACAGCTGGCTGGTATCTCCAGACTCCACCCTTCTCCTTCCCAGTATTCTCAATTTGGCTTTCCCTCCTAACTTTATCCTGTTCAGCATTTGGCCAGTCAGCTTCTTTCTTAAACCAATCACAAGGACTCACAGTGTGCAAAAGTATTATTTCACATCAGCTAAAGACAGATAGAGGACAGATTAGAAGGGGAAGGGAACAAGGGAGAGAGGCAGGAATGTTTGTCCTGGAGTGGGACAAAGGACTGCCTCTGGACAGAGAGGAGACAGATGTGGCCCAGCCAAAAATGGCAGTTTATGAATGTAAAAAGAGAAACCCTGTGTTAGGATAAAGTGTTTCATTAGACTGGTGCATGTTAATTAGGTGAGCCAAAGGGGGATGGACTTCAATGCTTGGATGGCTGAAAGTTGGTAGTCAGCCTCAGGAAGAGGAAGTGGTCATATAAGGGAATAGACCTTCATGGCTAGCTTTATGAATGTAATCTAGTGGATTTTTAGCAAGCCAGAGTCAGTGGGGGAAAAGGGAAAGGCTGGCCAGAGCTATATTTGACATGCTCAGACTGGCTATAATCTTTTTAGTTGCCCTGTCCACGTTAAAACATATTAAGATCTTTGACTGTTATGTTTTTAGACAGGGTCTGGCTGTAAAGCTTGAACTGGCCTTCAGTTTCCTGATCTGCCTTTGCTGCCCTCTAGTGCCACGATTTATTACTGTGAGCCTCCAAACCAGGCGGGCTGTTTGCTTTGCTTTTTCTTTCTTTCTTTTTTTTTTTCTCTTTTTATTTTTTATCTTTTAATTAATATTTTAAATTATACTCATGATATTCATGAATTACACTGATGATATTAATTGCATTTATGGTATTCATTGACTACATTCACGGGATTCATTCAATATTTATATTTACAAGATTTATTAATTACATTAATTGTATTGATTTATTACATTCATGATATTAGGTCCTGATACTACTGTCCATTTGTGGGGCTTTCCCATCACAAAAAACAGAGATTATGTACTTAGGAAATCATTCTTCTATATTCCTTTCTTCTCCACCTTGAGATAACATCTAATCTTTCTGTCTCTATGAGTTTGTATATTGTATATATTACATGTAATACAATTCTATAGTATGTGTCCTTAGTTTGAATGTAAAAACATTTTATGTACAGCAGCAGAAGAAATAATACACAAGTAGCCTCAACATACAAACCAGTTGCAATTTAAAAGTGCAGTGTTATTTTAAACAGTAAAGTATTTTCTCTGCAGAAAATAGTATAAATGATACCATATTGGGAATTGGTCTTTGCTTTTTCTTGCTTTGAATTTTTTCTATGCTACTTCTATACCCCAAATAGAATCCATTAAGTACTTTTTACAAAAGTACTCGAGAAAACCTTTTACTGTCACAATTTATTACATAGCAATCTAATTTTCAATTTAAGGAATTAAATACTGCATTCCTAACAGAATTTCATTTCCTTTTCTGTACTCATATTCTCTCTCTCTTCTCTTTCTCTCTCTCTCTCTTTCTCTCTTTCTCTCTCTCTCTCTCTCTCTCTCTCTCTCTCTCTCTCTCTCGTAGAATGTCATAGTAGCTTATTATCACAGGACTTGGAGATACTGAAGCAGGGAAATTTCTGCAAATATGAGGCCATCCTGAGTCACAGTATAAGAACTTATCTCAAATGAGTCTATTGAGAGTCGAAAGTACAGTTAAATTGTTAGACTGCTTCCCTCGTATGGACAAAGCTTTGATTTTAATTGCCAACCTTGCATACATCAAAGAATGATAATGCATGGCTGTGACCTCTGAACATGTTCAGAAGATCAGAAAGATCAGAAATTCCAGATCATCCTCAGCTGTGTAGAAATTTAGCCTGAGCTTTATGAGACCCTGTCATGAAAAATTCACTTTCAAATTTGTATTTATGTACATCACAAACATCACCTTAGTTTCATCTTTCTAGAAAGAATTCAAAGATGTGTCATATGATATTTTGAAATTCACCTAAATAGATGCAAGACTCATGTTCAAAGTAGTTATTTTCCTTGTATTCTCTCACATGCAGAGGCAATTTTTAAAATTACTTTTACCATCTTTATACTATGACATAATCAACTTATTTCTAAACTTTTCATTTCCTAATTTAAAGGCTCTCATATGACTAGACTTCCTCTCTTTAAAATTAATAGCACATTAGTCAGTAATTTTTATTATGTGTGTATACATATATGAATATGGAGCTTCTCATACTTTTTCAAATGTCCTTAGAGATATTTCTAGGCCTGTTCAGGCAAGGACTCATCTTATATCCCAGGCAGGCTACAAATTTCTGATATCCATACCTTGGATTACAGGTTTGGGCATGGTATATAGGCAAGTTGTGTTATAGTAAGTCTCTCAGAGGATTCTTACATACTGTATATAGTATGAATTTTGATCCACACTATAATCTGTGATCTCTTCTATATTCTCTATGTTACCATATGGAATTGTAAGGACATTCCAGAATGGTTGCATAATGTTATTTTCTTACCTGAGAAATAGTCTCACTACTCACTCAGGCTTGCTTGGAACTCATGCCTCCTCCTTCAGACCTCCACTCTGGCACTCGAGGATTTGTGTAAGGATATATTTAAAACCAATGAATATATTTTCATATAACAAAATTCAAACATTGGTTACCATCTCCTCCAAAGAAATAGTGAAACATGAAATTGCTCAATGATATGAAAACTTCCTGTGGGCAACAAAGGTGGCTCAGAAGTAACGTTTGGATCAGCACTGTTCTTGTGTATTCCCAGATTTGAGTCCCAGCACCACAGTGAGGTGGCACAAAACTTTCTGTAACCCCAGATTCTTAGGGGTTCCAGTCCTCTTCTTGAACGACAGGCACTAGGCCAAAAACTTCATTCCCACACATACATAGAGGCCCAGATGTTTGAACTAAAAATTATGAATTAAAAGTAAGTAAAAGAAAGATTAAAGGGAATAGAATTTAAGCCCAAATGGAAGTGATCACAATTTCCCTCATATATACTGGGGATAAATTTTAAGAAGCTGATTAAAAAAATCTTGAGTTAGTATTAAGTCTTGGATGGGTCCTAACTACCCATATTTGTGATAACTGGCTAGGAACAGGGACACATGACTTTTATCATAGCATTCCAGAGGCAGAGGCAGTCAGATAACTGTGTCAGAGGCCAGCCTGGTATAGATGATGAGATGCTGCAGAGCCTGTACTATTAGAGCTCTGCCTGGAAAAAAAAATCCTAGCTTTCCTGGAACTCGTTTTTGTAGACCAGGCTGAACTCCAACTCCCAGAGATTAGCCTGCCTCTGCTTCCCAAGTCCTGGCTTTAAAGTCCTGTGCCACTATAGCTTTGATTTAAAAAAAAATATTAAAATAAAAAATAAAATATGTGGCCCTGCAGTGGTGGCAAACGCCTTTAATGCAGGCATGCAGGAGGCAGAGCAAGGCCGATCTCTGAATTCAAGGCCAGCCTTCTGAGTTTCCAGACAGCCAGACTACTCAGAGAAACCCTGTCTCAAAAATCCCCTCCTCTCCCTCCTGATTGGAGGCCTGGTGCTGACTGGCACACACTAAACTCTGCCCTTTGAGCCTTAGCAACAGTGCAGACAAGGGCAGTGATTGGCGGGCGCCACTAGCCAATTGTTGAGAGCAGCAGGATAGTCCAGGAAGAGGGCCAACATGGGGCGCCCTCCTCTTTGAGATGGCTTGGAATCCAGCTCCTGGTGGCATTATGACGACAAACCGTGAGGGTAACAGTTCTTTGTAGTCATGTCTCTATGCATGTAGCAGCTGGGCCCCTCTCCGTCCTCAGGGTCCCCGCTAGTCGGGAAGAATCTTGACGGAGAAGCCTCAGCATCACACAGGCTTCGTAAAATGGCGCCTGGTGGTGTGGACCGTTGGGAAAGGCTTTGCGCTCCGGTTCTCCTATCTTCTTCCCCGCTGAACATCCTTCCACCCTGTCTGTCCTTGGGCCGTTGTGCTTCATCCACTCCTGTTTTCCGCAAGGGAAACTTAAAAATGAGGAGTGTATTAAAACGGCGGGTATTTTTGGTTGTGAGCCTAGACTTTAACGGCTGAGCCAACTCGCCAGCTACAAAGAGAAACCCTGTCTCGAAAAACCAAAAAAAAAAAAAAAAAAAAAACGGCGGATATTTTGTTTTCTTTTATTTTTCCTTGGTGCTTTTTCAAGAAAGGGTTTCACTGTGAAACTGTCCTGGCTGTCCTGGCACTCTCTCTGAAGACTAGGCTGGCCAGGAACTCACAGAGATCCTCCTGCCTCTGTCGACATCCGAGTGGTGAGATTAAAGGCATGCAGCTCCACGGATAGGCTCTGCAGTTATTTTCAAATAACATCCATCCTCTTGCTGAGTCTCGACCCACGTGATCTTTGGGTTAAAGTGCAGAGATAGCTTTCTGGGTATCTGGGAATGGGAAGTTGGAAATGGGCATTTGGTTCGTGGATTTCTGTGGATGTTTGTAGTGATAGTGACAAACTGTTGACCATGTCATTGCTTATTTTGGTCCCTCGTCGTGGCTCCCCACCATTGCCCCCTCTTATCCCTTTGTCCACATCCCCCTTACCATCCAACAAACCATCCTCATTCTGTGAACCTTGAATCTTAAAAATATAGTGGGGATTATTGATTGTTGAAAGGGGCAGGCGACAAACCTGGTTATTTAGAAAACATAAAACCCTTTGCTGAATTCTGACCCACCTGTTTGCATAGCTGGAGCCCAGGGCTAACTTTCTAAGGATATGTTTAAGGAAGTGCCAGTAAGACACAGATAAAGAAATTTTGACTTGTCGGTTGGTTTGGTTAGTTGTGGTAATTATGACGAGCTCCTGAACCTGACATTCCTTTTTCTACCATTCCCCACCCCCACCATGACAACCACAATTTTTTGCTACCTGGCCATTTTCCAAGCCCCCTTCCTTGTCCTAACCCAGCCTGTCATTGCCCTGCCACCAGTCATTTCTAATCCTCTAACCCTATCCTGCAGGACTTTCTGTATGTTAGCCAGGGCTACTATAAGAGACAGGAAAGGGACAGGGGTATGAGTACCAAATTAGGATAAGACAGGAGCAAAAAGGGCAGGGTATAAGATAGGAGGATCCATAGGTAGGTGTGAAGGGGGTGGCCAGCCAAGCAGGAGCACAGGACTAGAAAGGGGGTTGTACTTAGCAGACTGACCAATAAAAAAGAGAAGAAGGATAGAGGGGACAAATCATAGAGAGTGAGCTGAGAAAGGGAGGTAAATTAAGCAGGGATAGAGAAGCTACTCAAACAGTGAGATAGGGCAGTGCTTCATGCTGGAAGTGTGAAGGCAGCTTGGGCAAGACAACAAGCCCCTGTCATAAGGATAAGGGTGGATGAGCATGGAGGCAGAGGGTGAGCAATGGGGAGGAGTCATTAATAACAGGACAGGGGAGTAAGAGAAACCATCAGTGATGCAATGGACGAAAAAGCACCCATGATCCGAAAAGGGGAAATAGAGCAGGGATAGAAGACTAACGAAATCCAGGAGGAAATCATGTGGTATGGCTCATTAGTAATAGTGGATACCTCTTTTGAATATTAAGATGAAAACTACTGTAAAAAACACAAAAAGTAAACGTGTTAGTAGGAGATGCTGTTATATATGGGGAGAAGGAGCAAGAAAAGTGTAATTTGTAAATGACAGCAAGTTAACAGGGAGAGAAATTCTGGAAATAGAATAAGTGGATTAAAGAGAACCATATAAAATGAAAGCAAGACAAGTGGAACCTCCAATGAGTGTGGGAATGCAGCAGACAGAAATGTCACATGTTAAATGATAAACATACTGTCTTTTTACCATTGAATTCTGTTAGCTAATTGTATATTGTGGGCCTAGAGCTTTATGTTGGATTTATGAATATTTTCTCCTGAGGATTAGCTTTTTTGTTTTTGTTTTGTTCATAGTATCCTTCCAGCCTAAAAGCGTTTAATGATAATAGATCAATTCACTTACTATTCTCTTTTGTGTTTGATGCTTTGCTTTCATATCTAAGAGATCCAAATTGCTTTAAAGAATGTTCTGTCATTTTCATATTTACCCTTTTGAATGTAAGTGATGAACCACCCTGGAGCTCAGCTAGCCTACAATGGAAGTCCATCTAATCCCCCCTTGTACATGCTAGGATTCTAAATATAAGCCATGTTTTTCTTTCCTCACTCCAAACTCCCCATATACCTCTGTTGTTGAATTTTCTTTTACTGTAGCCCCACATAGGGTGCCAGAATGTTGTTGTTTGTTTTTTTTTTCTCTTTCTCTTTCTCTTTTGGGGGACCTGCCACCCAGGTCCCAAATAACTCACACACAGAGGCTTTTTCTTAACTATAAATGCCTGGCCTTGATTTCACTTGTTTCTTTTTTTTTTTTTTTTTTTTTTTTTTTTTTTTTTTTTTTTTTTTTTTTTTTCGACACAGGGTTTCTCTGTGTAGCTTTGCGCCTTTCCTGGAGCTCACTTGGTAGTCCAGGCTGGCCTCGAACTCACAGAGATCCGCCTGGCTCTGCCTCCCGAGTGCTGGGATTAAAGGCGTGTGCCACCAACGCCCGGCCACTTGTTTCTTAATAGCTTTTCTTAAGTATAAATTACCCTATCTACCTTGTGCCTCTAGGCTTTTACCTTTCTTTATTTTTGTGTTTCTTTTATTTCCTTCTTACTCCATGTCTTTCAGTGTAGCTGCATGGCTGGTCCCTTGCATCCTCCTCTCCTTTTTCTCTTGCTCTTTCTTCTTTTCCTCGGAGAGTTCTCCTTCTGCTTATTCTCTCTGCCTGCCAGCCCTGTCTATCCTTCCTCCTGCCTTGGCACTGGCAATCCAGCTCTTTATTAGCTGATCAGGTGTTTTAGTCAAGCACAGTAACACAGCTTCAAAGAGTTAAGCACATGCAACATAAAAGAATGCAATAAAGCTTTGTATTATTAAATAAATGTTTCACAGCTTAAACAAATGTAACACATCTTAAAATAATATTCCATACCTCTGCTTGCTCTTTTCAAAGACATTGTTCTCTTCTTTCATGAATAGTTATTACATACATCTCTCTCTGTCTCTCTCTGTCCCCCCCCTCTACCATATGTCTGAATATAGAGAAGGAAAGATAGTTTTCATGTGTACTCATAAATATAAATACAATCTGATCATTGTGATTGATATTACTTCCTGGTATATGTTTTCAGGGCTGACTTTATTTTGTTATAAACAATTGCTGTCTTCTTCCCTGGGGAAGACAATTTCTCCCCCTCAGCATTCTTCAGATGTCTTCAGCTTTTGGGTAGGATTGAGCCCTCTTGGTGTTCACTGTGCACACACATTAGCCTGTATATTGGTGACTTCCTTGTTCAGACCTCATTTAGGCAGTCAGGTTGGTGAGATGTGGATTTAGCTTCTGACTTTACAAAGAGATACAGTGATTACAAACTCCCTGTTCCTCTAGCTCTTAAAATCTTTCATCCCCCTTTTTCCCCATGTTCCTTGATATTTAGGTAAGGGGTTTGTTTGTTTTGTTGATGTATCCCTTAGACTAGGATCCATAAATACACATTTTGATTAGCTGTAGCTTCCTGTAATGGTCTCAGTGTGTAGCAAATGGAAGTTTTCTCAATGAGGACTATGTTTGTCTTGAGTTTCTTGTAGAATATTATATTAAGTTCTTTTCTTTTAGTTTCATAGTACATTCCTAATTTGTGAACAAAGATGCCATATCCTATTTTTTCTTATATTTCAGTTTCAACATAGTGGATTTACTTATTTTTTTTTTATTTTTTGAAACAAGGTCTCACTATGTAGCTCAGACTGTCTTGAATCGTACTATGTGATTCAGACTGTCCTTAAACTCACTGTGAAGCCCAGGCTGGCATCAAATTCAAGCTTCCTATGTCAAGCCTCTTTTTCTATTTTTAAATTATTTTATTTTTATGTATATTTTATTTTATTTTATGTTTGAATGATCTGTTTGCATGTATGCCTGCATACCAGAAGAGGGCATCCGATCCCATTATAAATGGATGTGAGTCACCCTGTGGTTGCTGGGAGTTGAAGTCAGGACATCTGGATGAGCAGTCAAGACTCTTAACCACCCTGCCATCTCTCCAGCCCCTGACTAAGCCTTCCAAGTGTTGAGAGTATAAATATGAGCCTCCGTGCCAGGTTCGTTTCATGGAGTAATTGTTTTCATTCATTAGGCTTGGTTTCTAAGAAAAGGTCTCATTTAGTCCACACTGGCCTCAGAGTCCCAGTATAGTCAGGATGACTCTGACTTTTAGATCCTTGTGCCTCGAGCAAGTGCTGAGATTTCAGCTGTGTACCACCATAGAATGATCATCTGTCAATATGATAGGAAATATTTATGAAATCTCAAGTACTTAGCTTATGTAATGTAAACTAATGTAGCATTAATGGATGTAGGCTTGGCTGACCTTTGGGACAGTGAATTTTTAGTGAGCATGAGACTCTCAGGTAAATCCGAACATAACACAATTAAAAAGATAATATAAAAGCCAAACATGGTGACACCTGAATGTTAGAAGCCTGGGACAGGAAAATTAGGAATTACCAGGCAATCCTAACATACAGTGTGACTGAGTGTGGTGTCATATTCCTATCATCCATGCTTCTCTGGAGGCTGTGGCAAGAGAATTGTGAGGTCACGTCTTCCCTGGACTACATAGTAGAGTACTTTCTCACAGTTGAAAAGAGAAAAAAATCTCTGGCTGAGCTTATAG